ATTTAATTTTTGATTGATATTAACAGGATCCTTTAAAATCGCAATTTTGCGTAATATTCATTACGGTGCACAGTAGGCTAGAGCGCGCTTCCAGCGCGAAGAATTTCAAAATAAGTAAGTGTTTTATTTCGACCAAATTTAGGGAATTTTGAATTCTTTAATATCTGTACATAATGAAACATTTAAATCACCTTCAAATCTGTTGAATTTTTATCAGGTAACCAGTCAAAGTTTAGGAATTATAATTACTTGCTTCGTGTTGATAAATTGCGCGTAAAGGTATTGCTTCTCTTACAATGTTTATTATTAATTTATTCTTACTTTTTGACTATAATTGTATTAAATACTGTCATACGTTATGGCTGGAACAAATAATGGTAGGTTTTTATTTAATTGTTAATATTGTTTTATTTTAATATAAACTACACTGTTTAAAAGTTTCACTATTTTATTTAAATATGACAATTGTTTCGCTACACTGTAGCATCTTCAGATCTGAAGATGCTACAGTGTAGCGAAACAATTGTCATATTTAAATAAAATAGTGAAACTTTTAAACAGTGTAGTTTATATTAAAATAAAACAATAGGTTTTTATTATTATTGTACTGTCACTACCTTAATAAAGTAACCGCTGCATACTTTTTATAAATGTATGGACATTATTAAGGTGTGTTTAGGTTTTTTTAATAGCTTACCGTTCTGTCTTTCAAATAAATCTTAAATCAAGTGCTAGTAGGCGCAACAAATATGGTTTGTTTATTTTTTCAGTCAATACATTATCCCTAACTCATACCGAGCTTTGTAAAAAGTGTTTTAGTTGGAAGCATTTCAATATAAAATTAGTTTTAAATTACTTAGTAGACTACGCATTTACAAAAATAGATAGTATCTCGGAAAAAACTTAATTAATTTTTTTTAATATAGAAAAACGCTGAAAGTTCAAAAGAAATATCATTGTATTAAATATTGTCAATATTGTCATATGTTGGTGATGTAAACCATCAATTAAAAAGCTACTAATAGCAATAAATACTTTTGAATTAATTACTGATAACTATTAGTGAATTTTAATAATTTTTGCCACCACCGCGGTAGGCTAGAAAGCGCTTCCAGCGCGCGAAAATTTAAAATGAGTGTTTTATTTCGACAAATATAGTGAATTTTGAATTCTTTAATATCTGTAGCAAATCAAATAATGTTATATTACCTTAAAATCTGTTGAATTTTTATCAGGTAGCCAGTCAAAGTTTAAGAATTATAATTACTTGCTTTGTGTTGGTAAATTGCGCGTGAAGGTTTTGCTTCTCTTACAATGTTAATTCCTAATTTATTTTTAATGTTTGACCATCATTTAATTCCGTTTAATTCTATACTGTCATACGTTATAGCTGCAACAAATAATGGTAAGTTTTTATAATTATTGTACTGTCCCTACGTCAATACAGAAAGCGCTGCATATTTTTTATGTATGCAGTGCCGGTTTAACAGGGGTTTTTTGGGGACTATAGCACCGGGCGGTAAATATTTTTGGGGCGGTACCGCATACCGCCCATAATTTAAAAAAAAATACTTAATCGTTAGAATTTAGAAAAAAAAATATTGCGACACTGCGTCGGCGGATACATCGGATACAAATGAGAAAAATGTTGTTAGAGTTAAAGCAGCTTCTCCATCAGAAAAACTTGATTTTTTGGAAACGGAATAATTTGAACTTTTTGGATAGACGTTTTGCAAAGGGTTAATGAAACCAATAAAGCAGTCCAAAAACAAAATATGGATTTAAGCACAAATGCTCATCTTTTGTCATTTTTAGTTGAGAACTTTGAGTTTTATACGAAAATAAATTAATATCTTCATTTCTGAATATTTATAATAGTCTGCGAATTTTTTTTTTATAATGGTTTCAAATGCAAGTGGTGAACGATCTTTTTCTGCTCTAAAAAGGGTAATAAATAAAGAACTACCTAAGAAATACAATTCCCCAAGAAAGATTTAACTCCTTAGCAATTCTGTCCTAGATTAAATAAATGTAAAGTGTTATAAAACAATTTGCTACTATAAAGACTTGAAAACAACCTTTTAATTATTAGTATTAGGATTTCTCAATATTTATTTAAACCAAAGAATAATGTTTTATTTATTTATAACTTTTGATTAGTTTTTCTTAGTACTTAGTATTGTTTATATAAACCAAAGAATGTTTTATTTTTTAGTTAGTGCTTTTGATTAGTTTTTATAATTTGTTTATAAAGGCTCATTTTATATTTTATAGGATACTAAGTTTACTGTTAGATACCAGCCTAACCAACCTAATCTTCCACTTGACGTGGGAAAGTAAGACTTAAAAATTTAAAAATGTTTTTAAAAAAGTAATATTTTAAAGCATTGGGCGTTGTGTTTTTGCCAGAACCGGGCGGCGAACTAACTTAAACCGGCACTGTATGTATGTATGAACAATACTAAGGTTTTAAAAAATGTCACACATTCTCACACTCTGTGTTAATTGTTTTTAATAGCTTACTGTTCTGTCTTTTAATTAAATCTAAAATCAAGTGCTAGTAGGCGCCACAAATATTTTTTGTTTGAAGCATATTAAAAGAAAGTTGGTTTTAAATTACTTAGACAATGCATTTACAAAAATAAATGTATCTAGGAAATAACAGACACCCTAATGAATATTACACAAAATTGCAATTTTGGAGGGCAAAAGTGGTTATAGGCACCTGTTAATTTTAATCAAAACATAAATTATGGCCAGATTATTTATCTGTGCGTCATTTGGGACCCAAAAAAAAAATATTTTAAGGACCACCCTAATACACATTTATTGCCTTTCTATGGTATTCAATTGAACGGGTATGCAGATTCCTAACATTATTTTGTATTAATTAGTAATAAATTATTTTTTATAATAATATTTGTCAAACAAAAATTATAGTATACAACTTGTTTATAACTTTTCTAGACACTTATTTTATTAAACACTCGCTTGCAAGCACTCCTTTGTGCTCGGAAGCTTCGCTCTTGCCTAATTAAAATTCGTGACTAAAATGGCGTTTATCAAAGTTTATACATAATTTACTATACAATACTATACATTGTGTCCCAGAACTCGCACCACATTAAAAAAGGGAACGTGCCGAAAGTTATGTGTAACACATACTTGAAAATTAAAATTATATAACGCAAAGTATAAACGAAATAAGAATAAAAATCAATAGCCAATCCCAATAGATGGCCATAATAAGTAAAATATTTGGTCGAATGAAATCCACTTCATTGTGGTCAATTTTGCTCTTATTTGATTACACTATTACCTAGAAATATTTTATTTTTAAATTTGGCATCTCCATTGCTATCAGCACTCTCTGTGGCGCAGTTTCTGGGACACATCACCAAAATTGGGCCAAAAAGCCTATTGAAATTGTATTTTTATTTTTTTTTATGGCTACTAAATGTATTTTAGTTTTAAATTTTAATGGCATAAACAACATATTAAAAATATATGTTTAAAAAAATATATAGGACATTTCCATTTAATATGCCCAAGTAACAAAAATTACCGAAATGGGAAAATACATTAAAAATAGCATATTAAAATTTGATTAGAGGATTATTAAAAATTTTATTTGGAAACTTATACAAAAATTGTGCATACATTTAAATATGTTTGTTAAATATGACTTATATTTAATTTAAAATTTAAATTATTTTAAAATCACTTTTATTCCCTAAACATTTAAATGGTTAAGATATTTGCATTAAAGCTTAAAAATCAAATTTCATTTCATTTCATTTATTTTGGTCATACAAGCTATACAATATAGATATGACAGGTCAAAAAAAAAGAACAATAACATGGCTATAGCTAAATCTAAATATATAAATAATACAAAGTACGTACATACATGAAAGACAGATGTAAAAATTAGGTGTAGAATTAGGTGTGGCCTAAAGTTTTGTTTAATAAAGTCTGTTATTTCATAAACACATTTTTTAAGCAAAAAACTTTTAAGTGATGTTTGAAATAAATTGTTATTTGGTAATATTTTTAGGAAGATTGTTATATATTTTTAACCCTGCGTAAAAGGGGGATTTTTTATATAGAGACAAAAAATGTTTCGGTGTGCGAAACAAGTCTGCATTACGAGTATTATAACCATGTTCAATGTTTTTGTTATGAAAAGTTTTTATATTTTTACGAACATAACATGATAGAGCATATAAGTAAATACCATGGAGTGTTAAGATTTTATAATTTAAAAAAAATGCTTTACAGGAATATAAGGGTTTTAATCCAAAAATCACTCTAATAGCACGCTTCTGCAGAATAAATACTCTGTTGATTTCTGTTGCCCTTCCCCACATAACTATAATAATAATAATAATAATATCGTTTATTTGTTTAAAATACCATACATATGTATACATATAATTGGCGTAAAACATGTCAAATTCAAAGTTAAATAATTAATACATATATTGTATACAAAGATAAATAATATCCTATATATTATAGGATAAGTGGGGGTACACAAGTGCATAGTATGCTTTTATTAATAGCTGTCGTGGTAAATTGTTACTTAAAGTATGTAGAGCGAAACAAACGCTGTTTAATTTAGCACATATATGTTTAATATGGTCTCCCCATGAGAGATGAGAGTCCAGTATTGTTCCTAGAAATTTAACTTTATTTACAAAGTTTAGATTAAGGGTGTGTTGCTCATCCTGTCTTAGTATTTTTCTAGCTGAGAAATATATATATATGTATTCGGTTTTTGATGAAATGGGGTTGAAAAGAATAATCAATAACAGATGAATTTCGAGTGTAGAATTATTAAGTTTAAAAATAAATATGTTGGGTAACAAGATTTGTATACCAAAACCCGAATGGTTCTGAACAGTTTCAAGGGAGCATTCAAAGAATTCAATTTAAAGTGATTAAACATTACAAATACATTTTTATATTTAGTACCAATTTTAATTCAAATCTTTTAGGTGGCATTGGTCTTGGCATCCTTGAAGGATGTATAGTTGCTGAAGAACTGGGCTATGGCTGTACTGGAATTATGACTGCACTCGAAGCAAATAGCTTGGGGGTAATATAAGTTCTTTAGGAAAATTAATAAATCCGACGCAAAGTGTATAAAATAATAATTTATTTTGTATGTATTTTTTACATTATCTACGCTGATTTTATTTAAAGAATGTATCTTATAAAAATAAATAGATATGGTACACTTAAGTTTTTAAAGGGTGTTATGCATAAGATTAATTTTATTCACATTGGTTTGTAAAAACCTAAAGCTATTTTTTGGCGTTCTATTGCTTGTGTTTTTTGATAATTCTAATTTTGTATAAAATATTGCTTGGAGTTTTTATTTGAGCTCTTTTTAAAATGTATAATTTATTATAATTATATTTAATTAACAGCAAACACCGGTAATCATTGCGGGAAATAAAGAACAAAAGAAAAAATATTTGGGAAGATTAATAGAAGAACCACTTGTGGCCGTAAGTATTTTTATTTAGGTATAATTTAAAGTATTAATTTATATAATTTATTAATAGAAAGACATTTATATATTTAAAAACATGGATTATTGAGATCGGATAATAATATACTATTAAACATTAAGGACCACGACTGCTAAGTGCGTGTATGGTTCAAATTTCATAATATTATTTCTTCTTCCAAGTGAATCTGAGGAAGATAGAACAACTTTGTCTATACTAACTTTATTTTATACGAGAAAACATTTTGATATAGTTATAGTAATAATAATAATAGAAAAGTTTATTAATCCAACAGACAAAGTCTACATAAATAATATACATTTTTTACAATATACAGTTTAACATATAGAAAATTTTAATCAAAATTATAATAGTATTTTCCTTATTTGTTTAACAAACTGACTTAAAGAACACGTCACAATTAACATTTTTAATATTAACCCTGCTAAAAAGATAAGTGATAGCGGATGTAAAACCAAACTAGTTTTTCATCCGGTTATGGCCTTTCTTGCCTTGATTGTATCCAGCACGTCGGCTTTGACCGACATTGCCGTCAATAATAATGTCTGGATTGGCTCGGCTTCTTCCGCATTATCTGATTTTGTTTATTTTTACTTGCGTTTGCCTAAATTTGATGCCTGCAATTGTCCTGTTTCATCCGCAAAGGCTGTATTTAGGTATAAACCTGCAGTATTCCGGTTTTATCTGCAAATACCTGCTTAAGCAATTTTGTCTAGTTTTTATCCGGCTACACCATAAACGCCTGCGTTCATCCGATTTTATTTACAAATGCAGTTCGATCATCTATTTTATTAACGATTTTATTCGCGTTTGCCTTATTTTGTTGTATGTAATTTGGACCTGTTTTATCTGTAAATGCATGTTTCTCGTTCAGTTAGCTAATTAGCAAAACATCTTTAATTGTCCGCTGTTGATCTTCTGTACATGGATTACGTCCATGTTTATCTATTTTCGTCCAGTTTAATCCGCATTTGCTTAATTTTTTCCATCTCTTTTTGATCTTTTTTCATCCACGAATTAAAAGGTAATTTAATAATAAATAAACATATTGAAAATATGATATTTTATCAGATAAAATATGTTGAAGAATTTATTACCTTTTAAAATAAAAACAAATCCAGATTATATACATATATTTAATTTAATTTTTTTATATACATTTATATATTTTTTGTTGGGCTTCTAGGGCGTATATTAAGGCCAAAAAGACGAAAAGTCCTTTGTCGTTTTTTAATCTGACTGTTGCAACATACAGAGGGAATTATTGGGTTATTGTTAATTTTGGTTTTGTTTTTTAATAATTAATAAATTTTTGATAGTTGTTGCTAATGTCAGAAAAATTAAAAAAGAAAAAGAGGTCATAAAGTAGTTAAGACCTTGTAAAATCATCGGACCCATAATAAAGACAACAGTTAGTTCGATTTATTAGACGAATTTATTTGATTTGGAACATTTGGCGACCGCGACAGCACCAAGACATTGTCAAGTTTGAATTTTACTGATTCAAGTGTTATTTTACCAACTTTAAAGGTAAATGTAGAAACTAAGAATGGCCTTTGAAAAGTCAGAGCCTTGATAGATAGTGGTTCACAGAAGTCGTACATCGTAAAAGCAATAGCACAACGATTAGGCTACCGATTTAAACGTAAGAGCGGTTCGAAAGTAGAACAGTTGCATTAATGTTATGACGCCACATTAGTTAGTGGAAACCGATTTAATTTAGTGTTTAGTGGCACTCGGTACGGTTTTCGGATGGACTGTAATGGGTAAAGTAAATAACGTTAAACCTACTTTTAATGCAACGTTGTCGTGTTTAGTTAAAGATTTGGCTATAAGTGAATTATGGGAATTAGATATACTGGGGATCAAGGATCCAAGCGAAAAGAAAAGTAGAGAGGAAATGACGGAAGCAGCACACAAAAATTTTTTAATGATACGATTGAAAGAGACAGCTAAGGTAGATATGTCGTAAGGTTACCATGGATTGAAGATCATTCTCCACTTCCTACCAACTACGAAATTGCGGAAAAGAGATTACAAGTTCTGTGCAGGAAGCTGGAACAAAAGCAACTTTTCGAGATCTATAATAATGTACTGGAAGAATGGTTAAAAGATGGCATTATTGAAGAGTTGAAAGATGATGATAAACAAGGGCATTATTTGCCACATAGGGCTGTAGTAAAGGAGCATTCGACAACGAGAGTTCGACCTGTTTTCGATGTGCTGCACATAAAGAAAATAAAGCTTCGTTAAACCAATGTTTAGAAAAAGGAGCCAATCTTGTGAAATTCATTCCTTCCATCATTTTACGGTTTATAGAAGGTAAAATCGGTGTTATTTCGGACATAAGAAAGGCCTTTTTACAGATTAGTGTCTGCGAATCAGACAGGAATTTTTTTAGACACAAAAGAGTGGTTTTTGGTGTGAGTAGTAGTCCGTTTTTGCTGGGAGCTACAATTAACTTACATCTAAAAACTTGTTTGGAAAAATGTAAAAGGGAAATTTTGAATCTTTCTAGCGATACTGTTGAGAGGCTGGATAAAAGCTTTTACGTAGGTGATTGCGTGACAAGTTTACATGATAAACAGTTTGATTGACGAGGGTGGGAGTCAAATGGCAGACAGGAAAACAGCTCTACAGTGGTTTCGGTTTTGGGTTTGAAGTGGTTCCCGGAAGAGAATTTATTGACTGTAAACACCGAAAATGTTAAAGACATTGAAGATAAGGAAGGAAAAATAACAAAGATTTATTTTATCGGTGACGCAGCGATTATTTGATCCAATTGGTATAATTTGCCCGGTTACGCTGAAACCTAAACTTTTATTGCAAACTTTATGGAAAAAGGGGTTCATGGGGACAAAGAAGTGGATGACCATACTGTTACAGAATTTTTGCAATGGTTGAAAGAGTTAACATTATTACAAAAGGTTCAGATACCACGTTGGATTGCTTTGGATCTACAACTTAATCAGGCATTGAGTCTCCATGTATTCTGTGACGCTAGTAAGAATGCTTATTCCGCGGTGATTTATCTTCGTGTAGTGCAAGACGGCCAAGTTATAGTACATTTAACTGCTGCCAAATCCAGGGTAGCACCGCTTAAAAAACTTACTATACCTCGCTTAAAATAAAAAGGAGTGAACAGTATTTGTAACCAATCGACTTAACGAAATTCGGCAAGTGACTAATGTGGATAACTGGAATCACGTGCCTGGGAGTCAAAATCCCGCTGATCTACCCTCTAGAGGTTGTTCTCCAAAAGTTTTGTTGGAGTCACATTGGTGGGAGGGACCAGATTGGTTAAAGGAAGAACCGCTAAGATATCCTCAAGAAGAAGCTGAGAACAACGAGGTAGAGATTTTGTGCGAACGTAAAAGGAAATTAGTTGTTTCAATGCTTAACGAATGAGGACTGATGAGTTCCATTTATATTATATTTCGCAATATTCGAAGACCATACGAATGATGGCATAGATTGTAAGACTTGTTTTATTGTTAGAAATCATGAACAGAAGCGCACTGGTGAAATAACTGCGGAAGAAAGAGAGAAGGCGGAAAGGTTCGTTTTGAAATCAATACAATATAAAGCATTTGATGGTGATAAAGACAAGCGATTAAGTACGTTGCCTATGTTCAAAGATGAGTACGGCCTGATTCGAATAAAGACAAAAATTTGTAATCGAAAAGATAGTGACGAATTCAGATTTCCGATTGTACTTCCCTCAAAACATGAAATTGTAGGACGATTAATTTTCCAGTTGCATAAAGATACTTGCCATTCCGGAGTACAAGCACTGGTGAGTTCTTTGAGAGAAAAATATTGGGTTTTGGGCGGTAGAAGAGCAATAAAGTCAGTCATAAATCAATGCATTGTGTGTCGTCGGTTTGAAAGTAAAAGGTTTGAAGCAGTTGTTCCTTCTCTTCCGAATGATCGGGTAAGGGATGCAGTGACGAAATTACCGGTGTGGATTTAGCTGGTCCCTTGTTTCTTAGAGATGCTAGTAAGGCCTGGATTTGCTTATTTACGTGCGCGGTTTACCGAGCGGTACATTTGGAAGTTGTTACTTCACTATCGACACTTTATCCAGGCATTACGACGTTTTGTGGCACGGCGCGGCCGTCCGCGAACAATTTATAGTGATAACGGCATAAATTTCACGGAAGCAGAAAATATATTCAGAAACTTAGACTGGTTTTAAATTTTTGATAATTGTTGATAATGTCAGAATTTAATAAGTTATTAATTAAATAACGTTTTCAATCACAGGCTTGCTTTACCGGATTAAGTAGAGATGTGATAAACTAATATCTATAATTGAATCGGTGAGAATAAGAACAGTACAAGTCCAAAATTTGACATTTTCATCTGAAATAGCCATTTTGTTTTAAATTCAAAGCGGCATCGAAGGAGTAGAAGAACATTTTTAAAACCGGCTTGTTAAGGTGTTTGTCAGAACTAAATGTGGAGCATTGAGAATAAGAACAGTTTATTCCCAACAAATGTCGTTGTTGATTATACTAAAAGTTTAAGTAGGTCATGCTCATGAAAGCTGTCAATTGGTATTTCATGCTGTTTACGTGTAAAATACAACAATGTTATCATCTGATAGCCCTGCTTAAAATACCCTATAGAGACCTATACAAAATAATCTATCGGGCGCTACCGGATTTAATATGTGCATTTGTCCATGGTTTTTTCCGGATACGGCCCGATAGAAAATTTATAGGAAATTACCTATAGGCACACCATAACTTTTACATTTTCCCTATAGAGACCGATAGCAAATAATTCAATGAAGGATATATAGGGATATCCCTATAGAACAACAATAAAACATTTGACAAAATTTTATTAAAACCTATGGGGTCCTATGGGGGAAATACTAATTTCTATATTTATGTGTATTTTCCCCATTGAAACCAATAGCAAATAAATCAAGGGTGGATATCCCTATAGAACAACCATAAATCCCAACTATGGGTCCTATACATACCGATACACCCTATAGAATCACCATTCATTCCGATACAAATATCTATCGGTTTTAACAGGGTCTCTATGGGGTATTTTAAGCAGGGAGTAGCGAAAATGATACAAGACGGTAAAAAACGTAGTAAAAATCCAGTACAAAAAAAAATTAATAATAGAAAGTTTGCACGTCAGCATCTGGAAAAATTGTCAAAGGAAAAAAAACTGGACCACCATGTAATGAAAAGAAAATAAATGATATAAAAAATATAATGAAGTACATCAAGGGAGAAGACCTAGAGTTTCTCCACCATATAAAATTTTGTCCAAACACTAATACGGATGAGGATGCCGGTATCCAAAACTGATTATTTAATTTTTTTTTTTTCAATAAAATGCTTTTTGGTCAATAAAAATGCTTTTTGTTAAAAAAAAATGCTTTTCGTTAAAAAAATGCTCTTTATCAATAAAAATGCTGTACCACAACGTGATGTTTTATTTTTTTCAACTCTAAAAGAAAATTCTAAAGATTATTATAAGAATTCTGTATCAGAATTTTATTGAGATTAGGAACAGTACAAGTCCAAGTTTATTTTTTGTGTATAATAAAGCATGCACATTAGACTGGTTCAAAAAAATCGAATATTTTTTTTCTTTAAAGCCCGCATTGAAATATCTTCCTAGCAGTAAAAAAAGAAGCCTGTGAAAATTGTAGCTCTTAATATTAATATTTAGAGGTCGCTCATCGTGAATTTCTATTTTACGTTTAAATAACACAGGAATTCTTTTTTCTTAAGTTTGAAATTTTATAACTCGTTTTTGAGTGAACATATTGGAATGAACTCTATATATTTTTGAAGAAAATTGAACGTTCTACAAAAAATGTCTCCTATAATTTTTTCGTAAATTCACTCCTTTAATAGTTATTCAAGGTTGAAATTAGACATATAATAAATGTAACGTTTAAACAAAGGAATTTTTTTTTTAACTTTTTATTTTATAACTTTTAATAGGTGATAAAGCAACAAAAATAAGGTAGACTTTCATAAAAAAACATTTCTTAAAAATGTTTCCTAAGAGAAATACGTACAGGCCGTCAAAGTTTACAAAAAAAAATAGTTTTCTCTTCATAACTTTTAAACCACAAAATTAATTTGGCACACAATGTAATATAGTCATCCGTATACAATATTCGATTTTTTTGAACCAGTCTGCATTGCACATGTTAAAAAAATATTTTTAGTTTAAATTATTCTCACCGATTCAATTAAAAGCAATAAAAATATATACAGTTTGGCAAAAAAATGGTAAAATATTTCTAGGGCATATTATAGTATAGCCAAAAAGAAGACGAAAAGTCCTTTGGCGTTTTAGATCTGACTCGCCCTTAATTAGTTATTAATTAAATAAAGAAGCCAATCAAAGGCTTCTTTATTTAATTAATAACACGCGTGCTTTGACAATGTCAGAAAACTTAACCTAAAATCAAAACATTGAAAATGACAGTGACTACTATACAACTAAGGTCAATTCACACTACGATAGTTAATAGCTTTTGGATTTCTTCACAAAAATGTGTTTTTATATTTTTTTATTTAATTTTTAATTTTAGTATTCCAAAAAGCAATGTGTTTATTAATTAACAACAATGCATCAACAATAAAAACAATGTGGGGGCAGCTCATATGTTAAATTATGTGCTGAACATATTTTTAGTACCTACCTAATTTAAATAAAAGGGTAGTAATACTTTAGTTTAACAAGATATTGGCGCTGGCACAGAGTTTTTAGGGAATAAAAATTAATTTGCCGAAATTAAAACTTTAACCATTTACTACTTGCACTATTCAATTAGTAAATACATAATTTTAGGCTTATTGTGTGACAGAACCTGGTGCTGGATCCGATGTTAATGGCGTTAAAACAAAAGCTGAAAAGAAAGGTGATGACTGGATAATTAATGGACAAAAAATGTGGATTACAAATGGCGGTGTAGCAAATTGGTAAGTTATTATTATTTGTTTTTGTATATAATTTATAAAACATGTTAAAGGTATTTTGTATTGGCAAGAACCAATCCTGATCCAAAGGCACCAGCGAGCAAAGCCTTTACTGGATTTATTGTGGAAAGAGACACCCCTGGGCTTACACCTGGAAGAAAAGTAAATAAATTAATAATTGTTTATTTGGTATTACTATTATTTTTTAGGAAATAAATATGGGTCAAAGAGCTTCTGACACAAGAGGAATTACATTTGAAGATGTTAAAGTTCCCAAAGAAAATGTTTTAATTGGTGAAGGACAGGGTTTTAAAATTGCCATGGGAACTTTTGATAAGACAAGACCAGCAGTAAGCATTTTTGTGGTTTTAATTAAGCTTTGCTTTTTATTACTTTTCTATATTATTTGGTATTGCCATTAAGATTAGGTATTGTGCCTGTGGGTTATATGCGATTTATGCTTTATTAATATAATATTGTGCACTATGCTTTTTTAGGTTGCTGCAGGAGCCGTTGGATTAGCTCAGAGATGTTTGGATGAAGCTACAAAATATTCTTTAGAACGTAAGACCTTCGGAGTTCCAATATGTAGTCATCAAAGTATAGCATTCATGCTTGCCGATATGGCAGTATCCGTCGAAACTGCCCGTTTAGCTATGTTAAAGTCGGCTTGGCAAAGAGACCATGGGGAAAGAAACTCTTTGTCAGCTGCTATTGCTAAATGCTATGCTGCCGATATAGCTAACAAATGCGCTACTGATGCAGTACAAATATTTGGCGGAAATGGATTTAACAGTGAATATCCCGTAGAAAAATTGATGAGAGATGCTAAAATTTATCAAATTTATGAGGGTACATCTCAAATTCAAAGATTAATTATTTCAAGAAATATTTTAGAAAATGCCAAACAAAATATGTAAATATCCAAAAAAATTCTTTATGGGTACATTATTACGCATTATGGATGTATGCATACCTACAATTATTTAGTAAAAATATATATTTTAACAATCTAATATTTTATATTAAAGAATAAACTGTTGATTTTGTTTTACTTTTTATAATCAACCTGTAGGAGGTAGCCATGATTTTTTTAACAATTCCACGTGAATTCGACACGAAAAAAACCCTTGCCATTTCGAAATTCCATGGCAATTTTTCCATGGGTTCCCTGACTCAAAATAAAAATTCAATTTTAATTTTAGCACGGTTTTGGCAATTGTTTTTGGAGATATGATTTTTTAATTTTCATGATTATAACGATTTTGCCAATATTTAATCGATCATAACTTTTGACCGATTTCGAAGATCGACCAATTATTTTCCTTGTCTTGAAACAAGCTATTTGAAATAAATATTTTTGATGCTGTGGCATATCGGCACACTATGATTTTTTTCTTCGAAAACTAAAAATCCATTTTCTACATTGTATTTTTTTTAATTTAATTTTTTTTTTGTTTTTAATCTTTACAAGTTTTTTTTATATATATTAGATCGTGGCTATCGAAAAATTAATAATTTTTTCGGAATTTTAAATTTTAATAATTTTGATTCCACTTAAAGACATTTTGTAATATCAAAAATGTTTTTTTTTTATTTAGCCCTTTAAAATTGTTTAAAAAAAATAAAGAGTAGTGCCTGATCATTGATTTTCAATCTTAAAATAATTAATAATAATAATATTTTTTAAACGATTTTAATAGTTAAAAGGGCTAAATATAAAAAGATTAAATAAAAAAAAACATTTTTAATATAACAAAATGCCCGAAAGGGGAAAAAATCAAAATTCGGAAAAAATTATTAATTTTTCGATAGCCACGATCTAATATCAGGGACTAGGATTAAATCACTGATTTTGAATAGCTCTCAACTCACTCGCGATCGAAACCTATTTCGATCTGCGAAGTATTACTAGATGAGTTAAATTATACCGCTCTCGTAGTGATTCGATACATTAAGGATTCAATCCCAAAAGTATCAAAACACTTCTACTCTTTAAAAGATTTATATTTTAAAATGAACCATAGTTTAGCTACTTTTGAGATTTAATCATTTCAGAGTATTTATATTATTGCTCATTTAAGATTTAATCCTTTTCGGAACCCAGTGATTAAATCAGAGTAAAATTATCAGATGATATAATTAATTAAATACTGGTTATTTAATAGGGCTAAAAATTAATAAATTGTAAAATTATATTAAATTAATTTTATAATTTTATAAAAATACCTTAATATTATTGTTAATTTTTAAAATTATTTTATTGATATTGGTATATATTTATTTAGCAAATTTTATAAAAAAGTGGTATTTATAATAACATTAATAATGTTACATTTTACATTACATTTCTCTATGATTAAACTATATTAATATTATAAGTAGATGGGTATCATTAAAATGATTTAATAATAACAATTTAAAAACAAAATAATTGCCACCCTATTTATTAATGTTATTATTGCAAATAAACCTAGCAAGATGGGTATCTATAAAAAGGTCTTATTAATTCTTATTTAAAAAATTATATTAATTACAGGGTTCACAGCGAGTGCCCTAAATTGCCCTAATGTGCCCTATTTTTTTCAGGGTGCCCCAAAAGTGCCCTATTTTAAAATAAAGTGCCCTATTTTTTATCAATTTTTCGTTTATTTTTTAAATTGTGATATATAAAAATTTAAATGCTTGTAAATAAAATTTACACTAAATGTTAATTAGGTGCGAAGGCGTACAGGGGTTTTAAGAAAGTGAAGAGTCCAAATACGGCATACATAATATAATAAAACGGTCAATTCACATTTTGAATCTGGCGGTACAAGCACCACGCCCCACAGTGGGAGGAATTTCAAAAATCGCGGACAAAATTAGGGACACATTATTTTAAGCCATTTTAAGGTTTATGCGGTGGTAAATTTATGCTAAAATATTAATATTAATAAAATGTTTTATTTATGTACACAAATTTGTTTTAAACAATTTGGAAAAGTTCGGTATTGTCGATCCTCCATTTTCCAAAAACATAAATTAATAAAAAAATATATTACGCAATATTACCTAAGCTAAAAATAGAAAATTAAACAAAAAAAACAATAACATTTAAGGAATATTCGAGCTAAATCACTTATATACATTTTTTTCGATACATCTTTTCTTTGTAAATTTCGCATCTTTTGCTTTATTTATATCGACTACTAGAGTGACTTGGTCCAAAAAACCCTATATCGATGTTTAAATAACATTTAAAAGTTGACTTTAAAGCAAAACCGGTTAAATCCACGTTTTTTACCTACTCTCTAAAAATGAATTATTCAAAAATGACCAATTTAATAGTTATTATTGGCTGCTTTTTTACTTGTACCATAGTTAACCATGGAATATAATGGTATCCCAAAATTTAACATCCAATTCTTATGTAAAATTGTCCCCTGAATCCGAAAATGCCATAAAAAATTATGAAAGTGGAGCAGTTTTTGAAATATAGTCAATTCCATATTAAATGAAAAATTGACTATATCTCAAAAACTGTTTTACTTTTTTAACGTTTTACGATATTTTCGGATTCAGGGGACAATATAAGATTTATCAATAATATCCAGGTTATCGGTTAGATACTTTAAAAGTTTGTTGTTTTTTTCTTTGTTACTAACATTTTTAATAAGTTCATACAACTCCTTATTAGTCGTTGATGGCATTTCTACATAAAAAGAAGCAAGTTATTCAAATAAACATGTAATATTTATATTAATATTATAACTTACCAAATATTATTATAAAGCGTTAATAAACACAAAAACACGATGAGATTTTATGTATGATTGACTTTTACTGGAAACGGACGTTTTAGAACTAGCAAAAGGCAACTATGATGACTTATAAATATTCGACTAATATGATAAATTCATGGACATATTTCATATTCTGCTGACCAAACAGGCAAAAAAAGGCAGCTTAATTCTTTTGACTTTAAAAAAAGAAAATTTGATGAACGTTCTGGTACCAAATACTTTGCCTCACACCAAGGCACACCTAACGAAATATCTTGTGGTTTGTAAAAGATTTATCTACTTTTAAAGGCGATGGTAAAACGTTTATAAAAACCGTATTTATGGTAAAATTTGCAATTTTAGACTTTTATATGAAAGAACAAGGATAAGGAATGTAGTAAAATATACCATCATTTCCTTTCATTAATTACGCAAAACAAAAATGGGCTTAAAAAACTTACATACAATTTGCTCTAAAAAACCGACACGAAGAATGTGACTTTTTAAGCAAGTTTAAGCGGGCATTCTATCATAAAAAAATATATTTCTTTTAAAATCATAATCTCTGTGCTTTCTTTTTTTATAACTCGTAATTTAAAATTTACTATGTTGATTTTTACAAAATAGGGTTTTGTCCGCGATTTTTGAAATTCCTCCCAGTGTGCGCCCCCAACATTTTTGTTAGTGTACAAAGTTGTTTTATTAATTGTGACAAAATGAACAAACAATAAATAATATTTTAGCAATATTGAACACCATTTATAGTGCCAAAATAATAATTACTGTGTAATTAATAGGGCATACAATCCACGGGATTTTTTTGATGATATCCTGGGACTTCCGGACAAAAGGTGGGATATTTCAAAAAAATCGGAAAGTAAAATTTATCACTATTTAATTACATACATCTTACAGTACTGTAAGTTGTATGTAATTAAATAAGTGATTAATATTACTTAACCCTAGATCACTTGCGCACCTAAGCCAACGTTATCACTCGCGCCCCGGTCTTTTCGACCGATTCACGATTTTTGCAGTTTAAAAAAATATAAAGAGTTATGATATTTTTTTATTGTTTATTATAATAATATAATAACAATACGAAACTTTTAAAGCGTGAAAAAATATTATTTTTTAATAAAACAAAAAGAAAAAGAAAAAAGTTATTATTTAAAATTAAAATATTCTTTAAATTTTATAAAGTTTAAGAGTTTGAAACGGAGTGCGACGTATTGAAGGTTTTTAGGAATTGTCACGGAGGCATAAAATCCAGACATGCGCGTTTCGAATACTATGTAGAAAAATCCAAGAGGTCGGTCAAAAAGACCAGGACGCGAGTGATCTAGGGTTAACTGTTGTTGTTTATATTTTTCCTTTATTTTCCAAATTGTTTATATAAAAAAGGGTTTCAAGTATTTAGTATTAATAAATTATTTTAAAAAAATGTTTTTTGTAATTAAAAAAAAAATCCCGAAAATCCCGGGATTTAAGAAATCCTAATTTTGTCCGGGATTGTATGGCCTAGTAATTAGGTATGTACAAAACAACGGTATAATTTGTTTAAATATAAGGTAAATTATTCCAACAATTTCCTTAAATCGGCACTAATTTAGTGCCCTATGTTAAAAATAAAAGTGCCCTAAAGTGCCCTAAATTTTTTGCTTCATTCGCTGCGAACCCTGTAATTACCCCATTCTTCCCCGATAATTTATTAAACTTTTTTTCTGAAGAATTAACGTGGCAAGATGGGTTTCTATGAAATGGTGTTAAAAATTACAATTTAAAAAAATATATTAATTACTCCCCTTCTGTCCCCTAATTCATTACATTTTTATATTGCAAAGTTAAAATAGCATTAAAAGGTCTTAATAATTACAATTTAAAAAATTATATTAATTACCCCCTCCTTCCCCCCTTATTTATTAAACTTTTATTCTGAAGAATTAACGTGGCAAGATGGGTATCTATGAAATGGTGTTAAAAATTACAATTAAAAAATTTCTAATAACTCCCCCCCTCTTCTGCCCCCTAATTTATTACATTTTTATATTCCAATGTTAACCTGGCATGATCTATAAAAAGGTCTTAAAAATTACAATTTAAAAAATTATATTAATTACCCCCTTTTGCCCCCTAATTTATTACATTACATGATT